TAAATGATAGATCGTAAATATAAACTATGATTGTTAACTGTTACTAAGCCTATAGATAGGAAAAACTATTTTTGTAATATTGTTAACAGTTTTAGGGGCCATGAACTAATTTTAAATGAAAGAAAATTAAATTTTTAACGGTACGAAGATAATTGTTGGTAGTTCTTATTTAAAAATGAAGTTGGTCGGTTATGAGGTCTACATGTGTATGTAAATTTTTTTTCTGGGACATTTGTTACTCTAATAATAATGAAAATGAACAACAGAAGTAATATTTGTCTGGCACGAAATGACTGTTAAGGAACAATTAAATAAAAATAAAGGACACGTATAAGTAAACAAATGGAATAATTTGACAATATGTAAATAAATATCGGTACATATTTGCACTGATATGCAATATGAAATAAGAACTGTGAAATAGCGGTAAAATAAGGCCGGAAGTATTAAATACGAAAATTTGATTTTACATATATTCGGAAGATTAATAGATAAGGAGATAAGAAAATAATAATTAATATGATATGATTTACAAAATATTGATAATGTGAGTGTCTCGAAACGCCGCCATATAGAGGACATTTGAGTGGTTAAACTAAGTTAAGTTATGTTTTTAAAAAGTCATAAATTATTCGCGGTTTGTTTTATCATCATCCAACTATAATACAGTTACCCAGCTTTTAGAAAAACTACCACGCCTAATAATGTTTAAATTTATTTTAATTAACTTGAGGTTTAGCAAGCAAAAACTTGAGATTCACTTCAAGCTGTGTAAAGAAATTATGTAATTTTTTATCCAGTTTCCTAAAAGTACTCGTGTTTTCAGCAAAAATTAACTACAATTAACAGTAGCAAAGCTTTTATTTCTTGTTTTTCCATGATCTGGGATGTTTTCTAATAAAAATAATTCCCTAAATTCATATTTTATTTATAAAAAAGTTAAATAATAAAAATAATGATTTTTCAAATATTTTTTATGTAGTGTATCCGAAACTGTGTTCTTCTCCAAAATCTCTGTCAAAGATAATAATCTTTATATATAAATGATAAACATAATGGTTTTTTATCCTAATATTTACGTTTTCATAGAAATAATTGAAACAATCATTTCTTTGTTAAAACTTTAGGAATAAAAACATTAATTTTGTCACTTATAAATACAGATTAATTTCTAAGATAGAGATCTGAGAGAAAAATTTATTTTACATTTATAAAAACAGAAATAAAAGCTTTTCAACAGTCAATTGTAGTTATTTTGGCCGAAAACATAGGTAGTTTAAAGTGACAGGATAAAAAATCACATCATTTTTCTACATACCGTAGTATAGTTGGATGATGATAAAAAAAAGTTGTGAATAAGTTATAGTTTAGATAAAACCTATCTTAGTTTAGCCGTTCAAAAGTCCTCTTTAAATGGTTTTATCAAGACAAACACTATATTAGATGAACATTTTGTCTAGTTTAACAATTGTCAATTACTTAAATTAAATATTTATTTGGTTATTGCTGAGGATCTTTGGGAAGCCTTTTATAGCCCTAGAGCCAGTGCCCAAAAATCGACCTGATCGCAGGCGAAGGTTTGATTGTAAATTACGAAAGTGCATGTTATTCTGAGTAAAAAAAAACCTTGTCTGCCGTTCCAGAGCCGCTGCTTTCAAAAATGGCGGCTGATTTAAAGAATATTAGGCCAGTAATTTGAGGATCGAAACGGGAAATCCATTGTGAAAAATGTGATAAAAGTTTTTATTTTTTTAACTTGTATAGATGGGTTTAGACAAGTAAAACACAAAATTGCTAACGCGGGCCACCAAGGGAAAACTTTTTACAGCCAAAAAAGTCAGAATTTTTTTATATTTTTTGGGTTTTTCACCTATAACTCCTAAACAATGCATCAAAGCGAAAAAATTATTCTTTAATAAATTAAAGGACGTTAAATTTTGCGTCAAACGAGTACATAAACTTTATAGTTTAGTTACGTGGTAAGGTATAAAACCACAGTCAATCAACGCTGAACATTACCAAATTTGTCAAAAACTGAGACAAATTACTATAAATGGCCCTGTAACTTGGAAATGAGTTCCCTAAGAGGAAGAGCCCATAGAATCAAAGTTGTAGAGCATCAAATTTTGCGTCCATTAAGTACTGACACTTTTATTTTAGGCCAACTATATATCTTGAATCGGGATTCGTTAGTCCTTTATAAAATTCGGAATCTTTCGGCACATCGTTAACCAAAATCTTTTGCTGTTGAGAGGTGAAAAAGAAGCTTATACTGCATGTAACAGACTTTAAACAAAACTAAATCATTAGAAAAGACACCCATACTGTTGAAATATTGAAAATCGGGTTTACCTTTATTACCAATTTCAAACTATCGATAGATTACCGACTTTTTTCGCAGCCAGTGACCTACATTAAATTAGTTGGTACTCAGTTGACGCAAACTTTGATGCTCTACAACTTTGATTCTATGGGTTCTTCCACTTAGGGAACTCATTTCCATGTTACAGGACCATTTATAGTCATTTTTCTCAGTTTTTGACAAATTTGGTAAAACTCAGCTTTGGTTGACCGTGGTTTTATACCTTACGGTGTAACTAAATTTTAAATTTTTTTAAAATGTTTATGTAATCGTTTGACGCAAAATTTAACGTTCTTTAATTTGTTAAAGAGCACATTTTTCGTTTTGATGCATTGTTTAGAAGTTATAGGTGATAAACGCAAAAATATCGAAAAAATCTGACTTTTTTGGATGTAAGAAGTTTTCCCTTGGTGGCCCGCGTTAGCAATTTTGTTTTTTACATGTCTAAACCCATATATAAAAGTTAAAAAAATAAAAACTTTTCTCACATTTTTCGCAATGGATTTCCCGTTTCGATCCTCAAATTATTGGCCTAATATATTTTAAATCAGCCGCTATTTTTTAAAGCAGCTGCTCTGGAACGGCAGACAATGTTTTTTTTACTCAGAATAACATACACTTTCATAATTTACAATCAAACCTTCGCCTGCGATCAGGTCGATTTTTGGGCCCTGGCTCCAGGGCTATTAGGGAGGACACAGTAAATAGCGGTAGTACAGGAATTGACAGCACTATCAAGGTCGTTGGGAGTTTTGAGGAAATAGTGTGGTCAATTTTGTCGTAAAAGATTTAAAGAAAAAGATCACGACTTATCTAAAACAAACAAAAATTGGATGACCTGATTTTCTGATAAAACTTTGTCCTCTGTTTATATGAACTTTTTGTAGCTCTTGAGGTCAGCTATCGCTCCTATAAAAACTTAAATAAGTTAAAACGCAGAGTAGTAATCATAAAATGGAGGTAATTTTCAAAATCTACGGCTCAGGAAACATAAAAGTAGAACTTTTTATATTGGATAAATTCGAAAATCTTAATTAAGTCAAAACGCAGTGGCTTATTCATAAAACAGAGGTCATTTTCAAAATTGACGGCTCGGGAAACATAAGAATACACCTTTGTATCGAATAATAAAAAAAAACTTAAATAAGTCGAAACGCAGAGACGTAATCTTAAAATGGAGGTTATTTTCAAAAACTACTCATATGACAGCAGACCCACACATCAAAAAATTAAAAATAGTTAAATATATAAAAAAAGGTTGAATTTGAAATGGAAAAGGTTTAATTTTAAATGGAAAAGGTTGAATTTGACTTGGAAAATGTTGAAATTGACTTGGAAATGCTATATACACAAAATTTCTTCAATTGACCTTTAGGTATTATACTTTACAATAATTATTTAAATTGGGAATTAAGTCGCTTAATCTTAATTATTTTTATGTATTAATTGGTAATCAAGTGACCTAATTCCAAATTTAAATAATTATGTTTATATATATATGAAGGCAGTGGATCAGCTGATGCGAAGGTTGTATTCTCAACTCGTCTCTCTGTTTTTGTCTATTTTTCTGCGGAATCTCTAATTTGTTTATGCGGAAATCGAAATGTGTTTTATTTCTGGTTATCTAGCCTAATTAATACAAAGGATTCATAGATTTCTTCTATGAAGTGAAGTTTAAAATATTTATTGATTTCATAAGTTTTTTTTTTTATTTGATGAACTCAGTTTCTCTCTATATATTTTTAAATATGTCTTCATCTACATGTTTTCTATGTCTAATATCTTCCTTTTGAATATTCTCAAAGACTAAATATCTGTCGGTCATCAATTAAAAAAAAATTGAAGGCGGCGTACAGCGTTATAATGGGACGAGCTTCCACCAACGTCCAAAAGCACAAAAACCAACTCGCACTGCGGTTATTTACTGATACAGTACACTAGCGTTTAAGAGAGATTGTGCAATGAGCTTGAGTGTAAACAATTAAAACATTATTAGTTTTAAGTGTTGCGATTTGTAATATTTTTTAAATACTGCCGGAAAGAGACACCACCTGCTATTATTATAGATGTTTAGAATTATTATGCGCTATTAGAACTATTAACACTATATATAGTAAACTCCTAGGACTGCCAATAGAAATAGTTATGATTTCAAAAACAATTTTGAACTAAACTTCCCCTACCTATTCTCCCACCCTGGATATCCATGATTTAAAGCAGCTGTCCACCTACTCTAAATATCACAGATAATTGACTACTCCAATCTTTTAGTACTAAGAGATGAAAATATAAATAGCAGATGCTTAATAGCCCTTTAATGCAAAAAGGAAGAGTAACAAATGTGTTTTTGTTTACCTAAATTGAATGGATTTTTAAAATTAATGTGATTTATTAAAACATTTAATGAAAAAATCATACTTTCGTTATTGTTTATTGGAAGTAGGATTTAGGCGTATCATAATTTATGTAAATAGTTTAATGAAATGTTCTGAGGATGGAATTGATACCGCGAACGGAAATGACTTATCAAATTAAAGAATACAGTTTGCTTTACAAATCATATTAATATTAAAATTAAATCAATAAACATACAATTATTCACATAGCTTCATTAAAGGATGTTTGTGGTTTAATAAAGGATGAAGACAAAGAAATGGAGAAGAAAAGTTGGGATTCCCTTCACGGCGGTTGGGGAAAGAGAGCAGCAGACTGGGGGAGTTTCCGAGGTAAGTTTTGAATTACGATATATATATATATTTTTTTTTTACTAAGAAAACTTGTATTAAGAAATAAAATACATTTAGTAAATTTGATGACAGAAAATAATAACATGAAATCACTTGTTGAGAAACTGTCTACTGGTAGTACTCTAAAATAAAATGTATTTACAATAGGAGATCTTGGGGCCGTCTTCTTTTTAGACATCTCGGAGGGTTATCAGGAATAGAAGAGGAAGCATGATTAGAGACGAGAGGATTCGTATAATTTTCAAGTTTATCTGGATAGCGCCAAATCGGAAACATAATGAACATTAAGGTCGTTATGGATTATTTTATTGGTGACAAAGTAAGGAGCATTGAGGATTTTCCAAAGGATTTTGGATTGTAAGGATTGGATACGAGAGGAATTCGATGGCTTAGTCGAACCTCAAAGCTCAACTCCATAAGTCCGAATAGGTCCTATTAGAAATAGAAATAGAAAATAACTTTATTCTGGGACAAAGTTCCTATAGAATAACAAAATAGTACATAATTAAAAGACTACATCTGGCTAAAATCATTCAAACGTCTTATTGTGGTCCAGTAGTAGATAGGGCGCGCCCTCCCCCCCCCCTGACGCTGAAAAAAAATTCCAAAAAAACAGCTATTTAAAGAAAAGAGATGATGAATTTCCTAATATAATATAAAAAAAATTATTATCGTGACCGGCACTAGCGAATTCTGCCATGGGGCGCATCCTCCCTTGGATGGTGGAAAATAATTCCTAAAAAAACACCTATTTAAAATAAAGAAAAATATAGGGAAAATTCATTCCCACACACGAATTTCCCAACGAAAAAAAATTATTATAGTGACCAGCACTAACGAAACCAGCCCTCCCTTGGATGGTGAAACAAAATTCAATATAACACCTATTTAAAGAAAAGAGAAATATAGGAAAAATTCATCCTCATATACCATTCAAATTTGTTTATTTATTCATCCTCCAGCGCGCCCCCTCCCCCCTCCCCTCTGGATGTTACTGGTACTGGTACAGGGGGGGAGGGACTTAGTACGGCAAGTGGGCCTATTGGTATTTTCTGCCAACCCCAAAATTTGATACTACCAGTGGTTGTCTATTGTACCTCTATTCTATCTCAAACCTTTTTGTTCTTCTAATGAAGTTCAAAAGGTTCGGCCATTTAATGGAGGCAGCTTTGCATACTTGGATTCTGTCTGCTCCCAGAAGTCTGTATCTGAGTGACGCAAATCTGTCACATTCGGTTATGAAGTGAAAGGCAGTTTCAGGTGCACTTCTGCAGAGATTACAGAGTTCATCATCCACTATCCCATAGATCTTTAAATGTCTTTTAAGTCTGCAGTGGCCTGTTAGTACTCCGATGATGAATTGGATTTCTTTCCTATTTGGGCCCAGCAGCCACTTTGTTTTGGAGGGAGAGGGGCCTCTGGATGTTAGAAAAATAATTCTGAAAGAAAAGATCCAGTAAAACATCTATTTAAAGAAAAGAGTGATGTAGATTTTGGGCCGCCGTGAGATGCGAAAGCTTGTGCTCCTTTCGCAGTTAGTTCTTATTGACTCCGAACTGAGTCTCGCAGGTGAAATACATGATACGGCTAAACTCAGCTAAGGAGTGAGGGAAATTGGGTAGTGGTGGGGGAACGGGTAGAGGTGGAGGAAGTACGTGGTACAGAGGTACGCCCTCCCTCCCCCTGAGAAAATTCCTGGATCCGCTACTGTTGTAGTCATGTATATGAGTCTTTTATAATTAACCGGAAGCTTAGAGCGTTTGTCTAGTAAGTGCTTGAGTTGTCGGAAACGTCGAGCGGTTTCTTGTAGTTTCAGTCTAGTATAGGAATTCCAAGTTAGACGTTTGTCCAAGTGGAGTCCAAGGTATCGGACTTGTTCAACAGGAATAAGAGGGGTATTATTAAAAGACACTTTAGGACAAGAGGTCATGGGGTAAAGGTGATTTGATGGGATTTATAAGAATTCATTTTAATCCTCCAGTATTTGGTAATTTAATATAATTTTGATAGATTTATTTATTTTATTCTTTAATAATTGTTACTTTCATTTAAACATTTGTTTACCTTCCGTTTCTGCTAAACGAATTTTTTTTCCTGACCAGGGGAGAGGACGGGGAATTAATTCCAGAGTAAAAATCGCCCAGAAACGAAACCCAACTTCGTAATTGGACCTAACGCCGTACCAGACTATGTTGGCAACTTATTCGGCATCCTAACGACCGCTGTTCCTATAATTATCACTGCGAAACATTAAAACTGGAATTAGCCACCTTCAAATCACAATGATTTAACTCCTACCTATCATCTCTCTCTGCTCGTGACAATCCCTTTTGGAAAACCACAACAAAAATCCTAAACCGTCACCAAATTTTCCATGCCCTCCGACGAGATGGCGGCTCGTGGGCATCTGACGAAGATAAAGCCGAAGAGTTCGCCATTCACCTATCCAATACATTTATTCCCCATCCGGAATACCATCCCGCCCACTCCGCAATAGTAGAATACCTCCTTACATCACCAATCGCACTTTCTTTGCCCCCTGAAGCAATTCATCTTTCTGAATCGAAATTTCAATTACAAAATATAATCCCCCGTAAAAGTCCTGGATATGATCTCTTTACTCCTCAGAATTTTCGACAACTTCCATCCAAAGCAGTCATATTCCTTACATATATCTAAAATTGCATCATATGTACTACCCACTTTCCTGTTATTGAAACACTCCACTATTATCCTTTTCCCAAAACCAGGCAAACCTCCGAATAGCTTAACATCCTATAGACCAATTAGCCTACTCGCAATCCTTTCAACAGTTTTTGAAAAGATCCTTATGAAATGAATCCTACCCATAATAGAATCCCAAAATATTCCTTCCCATTAAATTGGTTTTCGCTCTAAACACTGTACTGTTCAACAAGGACTCCGTGTTGTTGATCATATTTCCTCAGCCCAAGAAAACAAGGAATACTGTTCGGGTGCATTTCTGGACATTGCACAGGTATTTGACCGGGTGTATGGGCACTCCGGACTGCTCTTCAAGCTTAAAATCCATTACCTCAGTCCTTGTACTTAGTCCTCGTATCCTACATCTCTGATCGCTTCTTTAGAGTTCGCTGTGGAACAGAATTTTCCAATATCTATCCCATTAAAGTCGGTGTTCCCCAAGGCAGCGTCTTGGATCTCGTGCTTTAAATCCTCTTTACAGCTGACATCCCTGTTTATCCCAATATTTTCCTTGCAACATTCACTGACGACACAGCAATCTTAACATCCAACTCTGATCCCTAGATAGCATCCTTAAATCTGCAAAGGCATCTCTCCTTGATTGAGCACAGGTGTAATAACTGGCGCATTAAAGTTAATGAATCCAAATGCCAACATATTACCTTAACACTCCGACACAATTTCCGTCCACTAGTACACTTTAATTCCGTCCAGCTTCCTTTCTCTGACACTGTCCGGTATCTTGGCTTTGATTTAGACCGAAGACTAACTTGGAACCCACATACTTGACTCAAAAGACAAGAACTCAACCGACGATACGGCCAACTATACAGACCACTGAACAGAAAATCTAAACTTTCAATTGAAAACAAATTACTTATCTACAAGACAATCCTGAAACCTATGTGGACAAACGGACTTGAACTGTAATGGACAGCATAATTTTCTAACATCAAGCGTATCAAATCCTTTCAATCTAAAGTCCTTCGGGCAAAGTTGATGCTCCATTGTATGTAACTAACAATAACCTACACCATGAACTTGATATCCCATTTGTCCTCAGCCTTATCCCAAAAAAATTCTCCAAATTTCACCAGAACGTTTCCTATTATTCAAATCTCCTTGCACAATCCTTATCCAGCACCACCCATCCTTACAATCCTCCTCAAAGTTTGAAGCGGCAGTGGCCCAGAGACCTTCTGTGAATAAGTATATATTGGAGTTTTGACAATGGCCAGATTCTCCACTCAAGCCAAGTATGTTTGATTATAGCGCCTCTCCTCAGCCTTTATTGGTCCTTAATACGGCTGAGTGCGAGGCGCTGGGCTCTCCTAGAGTCCTGCCTTTCCTTCCACGAGTGGGGACAAAGACTTGGCTCGAAGTTCTGCTGAGTGAATGGATTCTGTAAATATTGTATAAAAGTATGCATGTGTTATAGTTGTTATTATATTAGTTTAGTTCTTGCTTTACATTTGTTTATATACATTTACTTTTAGTATTATTATTTTGTGTATGACTTATTTTATTAATTGTAAATAGAGTGTGAATGTGCTCTCTGAACACTATTATAAATGTCCTTCATTGTGAAGGATTGCAATATTTCTGAATAAATAAAAATAAAAAATATTCGGCCGATTTGCGAGATAGACCAATATCGTTTGGAATTGTTTGAAACGTCATTATAGATACGTATATTTCTAAAAACCGATGTTTCAGCAGTCTGAGGATTCACTAGAAGTAACTAATTCTACCCAGCACATATCGTTAGGTTTGAAAAAAATATGCCGGCAAACCAGCCCTAAATATAAAAACTGATGGCGCTGGGATCTCCTAGAGGAATGCATTTCCTTGCACGAGTGGGGAGAAAGGCTTGGCTCGGAATTCTCCTGAGTAAATGGATTCTGTAAATATTGTATAAAAGTATGGACGTATTTAAGATGTTATTTTGGTTAGTTTAGTTCTTTTGTTTATATACATTTACTTTTAGTCTTATTATTTTTTGTAACATGTATTTTTATTTATTGAAATAGAGTGTGGATGTGTTATCAGTTTGTCACTAATGCAGTCAAACTTCCAAATTTTCGGAACACACATTGCAAGACCAAGACCAAGACAGCCTAACTGTTGCAAGACCAAGACTGGTAAAAAAAATTGTTTTTGTGAATAAAAATTAATGCAAAATAGTGACTAATACTTAACCATTTGAATTCACTATACGTAAAGAATTGGTATAAGCAATATACTTTTGCATTTAACTCTTCTAACCTTTCATTCGGGCTTAGTTAAGTTTCCCCTATCTGAAGAAATACAGTGATATTTATTTAGCCATAAGCTGATAGGTAAATGAAAGACTCTTGCGCAATACCAATACTCATCTTGGTCTCACGTTTGGGCAACACTACAGCCAATGTCCTACAGCACCGTTAGTTCACCTCAGTGTGCTCCACTCCAAGACCAATACTTTATTAATATATTATCCCAAGCACCTAACCTTAAATCCAAATGGACAATAATGAAAAATCTCTATATCGTCAGCTTCACATCCTGTACTCAATACCCAATAGATTCGGACTAGCTAAATTTCTTTTATTCGCTAACCATCTTCCTTCCGCATTTTCATCTGATCTCTCATTTTCTTTCACCATCGAAATCTCCTTTGATCCTCATAAGTTTTATTTTCTTGATATTTCTCCTATTTACCTATTATCTGCTATACTTAAATCCAAAACAAATAATTATGGACCTGGCTAAATACCTGTTAAAATCATTAAACTCAGCATTCCAGCCTTATTTTCCGCGCTTTCAGAGAGAGAAATTGTATGTGTAAATACTATGTCCGAAATTAAAATTTTCCCGAAATATGGAAAAGAGCAATTGTCTGCCCGTTGAACAAAGTCTTTGCTCCTTCCTCAGCTTCCAACTTAAGACCCATCTCCATTTTAACCAATCTATCCAAGCCACTGAAAAAGAAGTCCATTCTCAGTCGAACAACTTTATTGAGCAAAACTTCCTTTCTCTATCATGCAATGTCAACACCACCTGTAATCCAACGACACTTTTCTTCTTCCCGGCTGAATCCTCCTATGATATATTTAAACTCCAGGAAGATATCAATAAAATATGCGCTTGGGTATATCTCAATAAGCTTTCTTTAAATGCCCAAAACGAAAAAGTCATTCTGATGGGATCCCTCTCACTCCTCAAATTCATTATCATACCTCCAAATCTTCTATATTCCAAATCGTACCATCTATCGCCTTCCATACTAGCGTTAAAAAGCTTGGTATTATCTTTTATCAAACCCTTTTCTGCAAATTACACATCTCCCTAATTTCCAGTCGTACTATTTCTACCTTGAACCAGTTCAACCGCTTATGCTACAGCCTTCCATTCCCCCACTTCGACTTTGGCTGTGTAGCGTATGGCAGATTCTCAGAAGAACTCGAAGCCAAACATAAACATCTAATGAAATGTTCAATACGCTACGTTTTCGGGGTCCCATGAGGTAAGCATGTTACCCAGTATTACACTAAGGTGAAGTGGCTCTATCCGTCCCACCACCGTCAGTACTTCCTTACAACCTTCCTATACCACGTTATTAGATTTGAGTGAACCTCCCTCCCCTCTCCCCCCCCCATATTCTATAGAACCTGCAATTTAAATCCTTCATTCAATCCCTTCACACCAGATCCCATAGGTCCGACCTCTATCCTTCTCTTCGCAGAACTTCTGTGAAGGATTTGAGAAATCCTTTCAAGCCGTCTCCCTAAGAAACTCTAATCATCCCGATATTCGACACACAAATATATATATTCCTACTTGACAACTATAATTATTCTTGAGAAGGTATTATTTTTATATTTGTTTAAATATTATCATTTACATTACTGTGTATATTGTTAGAATTTTTATAAACTTAGTTTTTGGCCAGATATGTATTTTTTTTAATTTGTCCACTATTGTTGTTGTGAGGAAACAATTTCCCCGAATAAAGTTTATTTTTCTATATTATTTCAATTAAATTCTTCTTCCATTCAAGTCCTATACTACCCGTATTGTTATATTATAAGAAAATGGACGTATAGATGTCAATTATTATTATTTATTTTTAAAAAATTATTTTTGGTTCTTCTATAAACTTGTGCAACGACTAAATGGTATCCCTATGTTCTATTCTTAAGAAATTTTTTAAATACATTTATGTTAATTACTGTACATTTTTCTAAGCCAAGGTTAATTTATTTTTCTGCCGAATCCCTCCAGTATCTCTAATAAAATCTTCCCATCTTTCATATTTCTGGCGTATAATAATATGCTATTTTATGGGACTAAAGTGAATAATATTTATGTATTATTATCGGTGTATTTATCATAGACTATTTTCTACACTACAGGTTCATGGGGAAAACGTGATCCGGCTTGGCAAAATCTCAAAGGATTGTGGGGCAAACGCAGTCTCCCCCACTCCGAATCCTTCGAACCTGGTAAGTTTCTATGTAAACTGAGTAAAGTATTTGAAAATGTTTCTCTATATTGATATTTTTATTTAGATTGAAAATTTTTTTAACTATGATTCGTTGTAATAAATTATTCATTTTCGACAATTAGAGAATTTCGATTAATTTTAGTTCCTGATAAATGATGTATAACGGGTTTGAACATATGGAAGTGGGATTTCTATACGTTTAATCCCGCGATCTGCTAGTATGAAAAAACACTTAAATAGTCTTTCAAGCAGATTAATACCTGACGCTTAAATCAAAGACCTAGTTTTTCTTTGAACAATTTGAAAGACACAGTATAGGATCGACGATTTAATTTTGGGGAAAGTCCTAATTAATTTTTTTAACTGAATCTATTGAGTTTTCCATACTCACTGAGCTATTACCCCGCTCAAGTTTTAAATGCCGAAATTTCAGAGAACTAACAACAATTTGTATATAATTAATAAGTGTGCCATACATACAAAAATGAAGTAGAGAAATTATGTATAGTTGGATTGCTATTAGTCGGATGCCAGAACCCATGAGGTAGTAAGCTGAAAGACATATGTTTTGTTTTTCCTAGCCCTTCGATATTACATACAAAGTATTTACTAACATTTAAATAAATTAGATTAAAATATCGTCTTCTAATATATTTACATATTTTTGAGTATTTTGTAAGTATTATCGAGTCTTTATTCAGGTCCTTGAAAAGAAACCAAGGGGTCCTAGGACTATTTTATGGGCATAGGACTATACATATTGTTGAAGCAACACTTTTTTTTTTATTTATTTAGAAATATAATAATCTGTCAAGTGGACAAAATTATAGTGAGATATGAGCACTTTCACACCATATATACGGAAAACATAAAATTAACAAAATTAAAATAATAATCAAACAACTATATACAACAAAAAATGAAATAACCTAAAGATAAGTAAATTAAAAACATAAAAAACTAAGTCATACCTACATACAATATATACAATACACATACACCACATGCACTCATGTCTTGACTGAAGAATCTGACCATTGTCAGAACTCCAAGATATATACTACAAAAGATCTCTGGGCATTGCCGCTTCAACCTTCGAGGAGGATTGTAAGGATGAGTGAAACTCCATAGGATTTGTGCAAGTGGATTTGGATGATTTGTTAGTTTCTGATGGAATTTGGAAATTTTTTTAAGGATGAGGTCTAGGACAAATGGAATATTAGCTCATGATGTAGGGTTTTGTTGGTTACATAGAACGGAACATAAACTATTGTTCGGAGGACTTTGGACTGAAACGATTGGATGCGTTTGATGTAAGAAAATTTTGCTGTCCCCCAAAGTTCAGGTCAGTAGGTCCACATAGGTTTCAGGATTGTCTTGTTGATCAGTAATTTGTTGTCAATTGAAAGTTGAGATTTTCTTTTCGGTAGTCTGTATCATTGGCCGTATCGTCTGTTAAGTTCTTGTCTTTTAAGTCTAGTATGTGGGTTCCACGTTAGTCTTCGGTCTAAAAGATAACCAAGATACCGGACTATGTCTAAAAAAGGAAGCTGGATGGAATTAAAGTGGACTGGTGAACAGGATCTGCGCCGGAGCGTGAAGGTAATGTGTTTACATTTGGATTCGCTTACTTTGAAAGATGCTATTTCGGGATCTGAGTTGGATGACATGATGGCGGTGTCATCAACAAATGTTGCCAGAAAGGTATTGATATGGACAGGGATATCAGCGGTAAAAAGGATATAACCTTGAGGAACACCGGCTTCAACTAGGAATCGGAAAATACCACAATGAATTCGAAAGGTGCGATCAGAGAGGTAGGAGCGGAGGATTAGGTACAAGGACTGGAGTAGATGGGTTTTGAGGTTTTAAAGAAGCCCGGTGTGCCATACCCGGTCAAAAGCTTTAACTATGTCTAGAAATGCACCCGAGCAATATTATTTGCTTTCCAACGCTGCGGAAATATGATCGACCACTCGGAGTCCTTGTTGAACTGTGGAGTGTTGTGAACGAAACCCGAACTGATGGGAATGAAGATTTTGTGATTTTATAAAAGGTAGGATTCGTTTCAGGAGGATCTTTTCAAACATTTTTGAGAGGATTGAAAGTAGGCTAATTGGTCTGTAGGACGTCGAGGTGTTGGAAGGATTTCCTGGTTTTGGAAATAGGATTATAGTGAAATGTGTCCACAAAAGGGGAAAGTGGGTGGTTTTAGGATGGTATTGTATAAGTATGTGGGAAATATAACAGTTTTAGGAGGATTTTGTCGAAGAATTTGAGAGGTAAGGAGATCGTATCCAAGAGATTTACGGAGAGGAGGTTTCTGTAAGGGATGTTTGAACTAACAGGGATTAACTGCTTTAGGGGGCAAGGAAAGTGGAATGGGTGGTGTAAGGAATTCTTCTACTGTTGTGGTATGGGTGTGGTTGGATTCTGGATGATAAGTGAATGTTCTAGAGAGGTGCCTGACAAATTCCTTAGCTTTGTCTTCATCAGACGCTGCCCAGGAGCCATCACATCGACGGAGGGGATGAGAAATATGATGGGATTTTAGGATTTTATTTGTGATCTTCCGTAGGGGATTGTCATGAACAGAGAGGAAAGCAAGGTAGGAGTTGAGGAATTAGGATTTGAAGGAGTTGGCCAATACCTGCTTTAATCGTTTACTATGATAATTATATGAGCGACGATCGGTGGGGTGTCTTGAGCGTTGCCATAATATTCTGGCATGACGTTTGATGTGAATTAGGTCTATCAGATATTGAGGTAAATTATTTTCTTAGGGTTTTTTGAAGAGAGGTTTGGGGAGAATGCAGTCCAGATTCCTTGTTGAATAGTGGTGGTAAAATAACGTGCGGCATTATCAAAGTCTTCTTGGGTTTTCAGGGATATTCTGAGGTCAATTTTATTGAATGAATTTGATGAAAGAATTTCCAGTTAACTGGGCTTCTGATGAAGGACGATGCGGGGGGGGGGGAGTTTAGGAATAGGAGCTATTGATAAATGAAGTATTAATGGACTATAATCTGAGGAAAGTTCGTTAATCAATAATAAATATTCAATTTACAATATTTCTATGATACTTTAGTATGTTATGACCTATGAACTAATGCTATAATATATACTAACAAATCTTCATAACGTATATATTTTATCAATAATATGTTTGCATTACATCAACAAATTGTTCTAATCCAACCGGGAGGTTACTGCTACATCGTCAAGAAAACGGACTGGAAGCCTGACCTGCTTCCCACTACCAGTGGTTGCTCCAGGAACTTGGCGGACTTCCTCGGCGAAGTCATTGCATCCATTATCCTTAAGTATACTTGGAGTGTCCGGCTGGCTAGAAATTGTGTCTTGATCCTTTAGCAGGAATAATGACTTCAATCTGTCGATAGTTACAGTCTTGGGACCGTTTGGAAATTCGAGGAAGAACGTCTTCTTGTCCCTCTTTAGAACCTCATAGGGTCCAATATATGGAGGAACGAGAGGCCACTGGACCATGTCATCCATCAAAAAAAAAAAAACATGGGAGTTTGATAACAATTTCGGATGAATGAATGTCTTCCCCTTGGATAACCGATGAGTGGCCGGCCTGAGATTATCTAATAGTTCCCTAAGATTCCGAACAAACTCTTCAGTACTTCGTTGCAGTGCAGTCGTCTCTAACAGTTCACCGGCAGCCGAAGATGTTGTCGAAAGGTCATCTCCGCTGTGCTGTTAATATTGTCATTTCGAACCGCCGAGAGAAGACCAAGAAGCACCATGGGTAGCAAACTTGTCCATGCGTTCCTTTTGAGCTATGCCGCGAGTACCGTCTTGAGCTTACGGTGCCCCCTTTTGACGCAGCCGTTATCTTTAGGATAATAAGCTGTAGTCCTGCATAGCCAGAAATCTAAAGTCTTAGACAATTATAGGAATAGATCAGATTCGAACTGGGGCCCTTGATCATTTGTGATGCATGCCGGTAACACCAAATCGTGATATCTATGCATGACCAAGGCCTTCGGCACAAGTAGCTGCTGATATATCTGCTACTGATTGAGCCTCTGGCCATCTTGTGTACCTGTCCATCATTGTAACACAGTATCGCATTCCTACCGAATACGTTAATGGCACAATTATTTCCAAATGAATATGCTTAAAACCATGTGACCATGTGACGCTGCACCTTGGATCTCTGACAGGAGGTGAAAGGCTTCGATCATCTTCCAATGTCCACGTTTTGACTTGGCCGAAAAAATCGCTGCCGTACAAGTCGACGCGAAGCTCGTACTTCGGGATAGCTTATGAGTAGATAAGGTTTGCGGGAACTGGCACACCGATCGGGGCAAAAAATAAGAAGCCAGGATTTCAGTGACGTCATCATGGCGGGAAGTTTGAATTCAAATTTGAACTACAGTACTTGCCTTTTAGGTCCTCAAACCAGCCTTAACCACCATGTGGTCAGTCACTTGACCATTAAGCCACGCTCCTATTTTACTTTATCCCTGCTGTAACCACAGAGTTTCAAAAATATTTGGTCTCGTGACCAGCAGTCACACCCCTTTTCGATAATGTGACCATCACATTTCGCCCTCCCCACCCCTCTCAAGGAGGCTAAGTGTGTCCGACCGCCATTTTCTTTTCAGGTATTTACGACGTTTACGCCTTGTATGACATCACGACCCTTTTCAATCCTGTGACTCCTACATTCCTCCCCTTCCCCCCCCCCACTCTAAGAGGTAAACTCGACCCCCATTTTGTTTTACTGCGATTGAAGAGACTTGTGGCTTTGGTTTAAATCACGTGACCGTAACCATTTTTTCCTGCTACTTATGAGATTTAGGGCTTTTGTAAGAAGTCACGTGAGCGGCGCCATCTTGTTTTCATTTTACTTAAGATATTTAGAGCTTTGTGTGGAATCAGGTGACCACCGCCGAGTCACATGACCTGTGGTTTGAGAGGCTTTGTTCGCCATTTTGTTTTTCTGGTAACCTTCCTAATGTTTATCTTTTATATAACCTTCTTAATATTTACCTTTTCAAAGTCACGTGATCGGTTACGTGACCTGAGATTTGAGAGACCGGGGAAAGGGGACTTCTCCGCCATTTTTTTCCCAGTAACCTTTCTAATGTTTATATTTTATACCACCTACTTAAAGTTTACCTTTTCAGAGTCACGTGATCGGTCACGTGACCTGTTTTTGATAGATGTGGGGGGGGGGGGGAATTTGCCGATCGTTTTGTTTTTATATAACTTCCCTAATGTTTACCTTTTCCATAATGACAAATCTGTCGCTTCTTCCTCCATCCCAACCATTATAACCATCAAAATCTTACAGTAACCTCCCTATTTTTTTATTATGAAATTAGGTTCTACGTGGAATTCTACGGACCCCCCTCGGAAGCTAGGGTCGAGGTATTTTTTGCACTAAAACCAATCGTTTTCGAGATATTTGACATTTTATGTTTTTATTAATTTTTAAAATAATATATCCTTTTTTTAATATATTTTTTTATTATTCCTTATTCTATGTTAACCCGATCATATATATATATTTATGACAAATCTCGCGTTCCTCTCTCCTCCCAACTATTATAACCTTAGAGTAACCTCCGTCCGTACTTTTCTTTATTATGGTATTGGGTTCTATATGAGATTCTGCGGACTTCCCTAGTGTCCTTCGGGGGCTAGGGCCGAGGTCCTTATTGCACTAAAACCAACCGTTTTCGTGATATTCGACATTTTATGTTTAATTTTTGATTATTATTTGGAAAAAATATATTTATCTTAGTAATACTGTAAAAGGCGTATGGAGATTTCGTATTTGAATATTTTTAAGTAATTTTAGGTATGTAAACACTACACATAATTCTATTGAGCAGATAGCGGATGGACCCCTTTAATCCTTAAATTATAAACTACCTCTTAGGTCTTCTTAATCTCTATCCAAGTATAAACAATGGACTGTGGAGCTGTAATCTCTTATCTCTTATTGTTCTCCTTCACGCGTAAATATAGACTTTGACCCCTTTAATCCTTAAAATGTGAACAACCTCTTAGGACTTCTTGATCCCTTTTTAAGTATAAACAATGGAATTTGATATTCACAATACCTACCTTTATTTACTTGTAAACAAACAGGTTTGATCAAGTTGCGGACAGTTTCTATCATGTCTTGGTTATATTTAAATAATAACTTTTAATATCCCTTTCTCAGTATCCTCTTGACATACGTGGACCTTAAACCTTTAATCTTTTAAACGTAAATTAACTTTTTAATCCTTTGTTATCTAATATAATTAGATAACATATATTAGATAAATTAGATAATATATATACAATAGCATCCTACGAACCACCCACTTTCCTCTTTTATGGGAATATTCTACTATTATCCTATTTCCGAAACCAGGAAGCCTCCCAACAGCTTAACTTCCTACAGACCTATTAGCCAACTTCCAATCGTTTCAAAAATCCTTGAAAATATTAGTTCACATCAGTTCGGATTCTGTTTCTAACACTCCACAGTCCAACAAGGACTTTGAGTGATCGATCATATTTCCGCAGTCCAGGAAAGCAAGCAATATTGCTCGGGTGCATTTCTGGGCATAGCTCAGGCTTTTAACCGGGCACAGCACACCGAGCTTCTTTTTAAACTTAAAACCCATCTGCCTCAGTCTTTATACCTTGTCCTCCGCTCTTACTTGTCTGATCGTACCTTCCAAGTTCGCTGCGGCACTAAATTTTTCAATTTCTATCCACTTGAGGCTGGTGTTCCTCAAGGTAGCGTATTGGGTACCGTCATTTACATCCTCTTTGCCGCCGATATCATTATCTCGATACCTTTCTGGCAACATTTGCTGATGACACCGCCATTCTATCATCCAACTCAGATCCTGATATAGCGACTTTAAACCTTCAAAGACACTTCTCCCTGATTGAGCACTGGTGTATTAAAGTAAAGGAATCCAAATGCAAGCATATTACTTTTACACTTTGTCGCAAATCCTGTCCACCAACCAGTCTACTTTAATTCCATGCAGCTTCCTTTCTCAGACCCAGTCCGATACCTTTTAGACCCAAGACTAACATAGAATCCACATACTACTGGACAAAAAATCTAATCTTTCTATTAAAAACCAATTGCTTATCTACAAGACAATCTTAAAACCTATATGGACATACGGACTTTAACTGTTGGAGACAGTAAAATCTTCTAACATCAAACCCATAAAATCTTTCATTCTAAAGTCATTCGAGCAATAGCTGATGCTGCATTCTATGAAACCAACAAAACTCTACACCATGACCTTAATATCCCATTTGTTCTATACCTTGTCCCAGAAAAATTCACATACTTTCATCAGAACCTTATATATCATCCAAATTCTTCTGCACAATCCCTATCTAGTTCCAGCCATCACTACAATCTTCCGTTGAATTGAAGCAGCATTGGCCCAGAGATCTTTTGTGGATAAGCATATATTGGAGTTTTGGCAATGGCTAGATTCTCCACTCAAGCCATGTATGTATGTCTGGTAATAGCGCCTTTGCTAAACCTCTACTGGTCCTTAATACCAGTAATGCGACGGCCCCGGGATCTCGTAGAGTCCTGCCTTTCCTTCCATGAGTGGGAAGAAAGGCTTGGCTCGGAGTTCTCCTGAGTGAATGGATTCTGTAAATATTTTATGAAAGTATAATTGTCTTAGGTTGTTATTTTGAGTAGTTTAGTTCTAGTATGAATATTTTTCTGAATTATTTATTGTAAATAGATTGTTAATGTGCTCTGTGAACTATTATAAATGTCCTTACTTGTGACTGAATGTAATATTTCTCAATAAATATGTTTTAAAGAAACACCTTTACTCAATTTCCACTGGCTTTAGTAACAGTAATGTGGTTGAGAGAGTAACGCAGGGATCTCCTAGAGTCCTTCTTTTGCTTCCATTGTTGTAGGAACAATCCTGGCTTGAATTTCCTTCTACTGATAGTGAATAGTGTATATATGTATGTCTGTGTTTTTTTTTAATATATTTTTTTTCTATTTTCCTTATATTTAAGATATTTTATTTGTATTCATTGCATATACTTTCTAATTATTATTTAGTACTCATTTCGCTTCTGTTTATTTTACTTTCTTTATATATAGTGCGAATGTAGTCTTAAATGTAGTAAATATAATGTAGTCTTAGTGAACGTAGACTATAATCATCGTCCATATGACAGAATGCTATATTAATCAATAAACTCAATAAATAAATAAAAAATATTGAATGACACCTCACAGAGGTAAAATTACAAGCAATGTTGGAGCTTTTAATAGGACCAGAAGATTTGAAGACTAAGGTGCTCCTCTGATTTTGTTTTATTCATTTTTGAATTATAAGAAACATTTTTTTTTTTAAAACAACACTTTATAGGTGGATGTTTGGAAGTTAATTAAAACTGATGTTTTTTTTTTAAATTATATTATATTGTTAATAATTCAGATATGTTCACATTGTTGTTGTCAATTCAGTCAAACAAACTTTGTTACGTTTGTGCTATAAATAAAATTAATTTTATTTCCGAAAAGATTAATTATTCTAAAAAAAAACCCTGTAAGTTAATATTTAAATATTAATTTTTTTTTTATTTCCTGATGACATTTACAACTGTATTATATAAATACATCAAGTAAATTTGGACATAATAGATTTAATAACATGAATACACTTGCTGAGTAACTACCCAATGGTAGCACTCTAATAAATATTAATTTAAAATACTTAAACCAATTAAATGTGACCCGAAAATACTCCCATAAATAAAAACCAGTTGACTTAGTATATATTTTTTGGTTTGGTATGATTAACTTAAAACTGATAATTGGATTATTATAATAGTACATAACACAGTGCATAACTTATTTAGTTCAAAATGTATTCATTTTTCATAAAAAATCATAGTATTTCAACAAATAATAAATCAAAATAGGAGAATATAGAGTAATAGTAGTGTAACATGTATTATTTTATTACAAACTAAATAGCCTGCTTTTGAAATTGAAACTTGTAAATAGATTATTAAGGAACATTATGGGACCTGATCATCTACCTAACCTCTATTTAATGAATATCGAATGTAATTTTCTCATATTTGTTTCGTATTATCTCTGAATACGAGAAACGATTTTTTGGAACAGTTAAAATAAAACTGTAACTAAATAAATCACTAACTTAGACCTTATATTGTTCAGATTTGCTATGAGCCCCACACCTCTTTATCTTCATCCACCACTTTTAGTAATTATAGTTCTATATCATACTTATCTTAATTTATTGTAAAAAATTTGATTAATGTCAAGTTTATTAATGTTTTTATTATATAAGGTATATGCACATGTCTATTGATTTATATACTCACTATTAGTTATTGTATTTGAACACTGAAAATCTTTTTTATGTTTTAGGTTTAAATAATCTTGAGGAAGAAATCAGAAGAACTCTGTAATCCTCGATCTAATTAAAAATCCACATTATTCTATAATTTAATTTAATTTTCTGTTCAGATTATGTGGTTGTATATTATTAAGTTGGTTCTGTTTTATATAGAATATGTTAATATATAATAAAATATTTGTTATTGTACGTATATATATATATATATATATATATATATATATATATATATATATATATATATATATATATATTTATATAATTTAATTCATAAATCATGTGTATGAAGAACTGTAAAATTTATAAGACTAACAACTTACACAAATCAGTTTAATTGGTAACTAATTTATTAGATTTAAAACTCTTTATTTTTATTGATTTTAATAATGATAATAAAATATTACTTCTCTGTGAATCTTCAAATTAGGCTAACATTAATGGAATATATATTTTATGTAATAGTTATGCCTTAATAAAAAGAATTGGCTTAAATTCTTAACATTTCTTTTATCCTAATACAAATGCATTATATTTTCTAGAAACATATGTACCCAGCAAAAAACGAGTACAAATATATATATATTTTTTTTTATTATTTACTATTATCATTATTTATTTATTTTATATTTTTAATATTATTTATTTCAATAGTGTTTTTTAACACTAATTAGTTTCTAGAGTTTGTATGAATAGACGACTAATATTCTAATTCTTATTATCCTTGCATAGGTTTGATGTTGTTATTAATCATAAAAAACATATTTATTACTTCTACTTATTCACTTTTAAAATATTTTCTAGAATCTACACTGAACTTTATTTATGTGCTTGTATGGGTGTGACAACATAACGTTTTTGATAACATTATAAAACCAATTTTCTTTAATCAGATTTTTTTTTATAATTTAGGTACATATCTAAAGTTTTGTTTCATTCGGTTTTATTATTGATATCAGATAGCAGCATGATGACGTCAGCATAGCAGCAGGTACGTTGGGAATTTCTGTCTGAATGTTGCCTTCATGTATCGCAGGGTCCTTGGAAAGTGGATAATTGGAGTTTTCTTCTGAACAAGAACAGAACTTGGATCCTTGTAGCATGGCTATTTCCTTTGCCAGTTTTATGCTGAATTTTTAGCTTGTTGTTCAAACAAAATAATTTTAAGTGTTGTTTAGGAGCAATATTATGTTTTTTAGACCTGCTTAAACTTTTCAAGTCTCCAGTTTTTTTGTTATTTTTAAAAATTTTTGATGACATAATGAATTTCGGAAATAGAATCTCAAATTTCTTTTGAATTTGCCTGATTGTAAGTCCTTGTTAAAGTAAAACTGTAATTATATGTCAGGCAATAATATGTCATTTTCTGAAATAATAGAAACATTAAATAGAAAACAAAAAGAAATTGTGAAATATGAAGTGTTGAATTAAATTACCAAAAAAAAAAAAATTCAATGAAGGATCCCAGTATTGTAACAATTATCACAAATACACTCAACTTACTAGAGTTTCTATAATGGCTCTGGACCAGAGTTGCCTAGAAGGGGTTTAATTGTGTACGATCTATAATTTTTCAAATTCTGCTTTTGCTTGTATGTTTTTAAGAATAGGTGAGTAATAAACTTTTTAAGGAAGGGGAGAGGTTAGATTCCTGGTCCATCGACCTTGGGGGTGATGGGCACCCCTGCTCTTGACATTAACAGTATAGAGTAAAGGCTGAAGTGGATAAGAAAGTACTGAAATTTAAACAATAATGTAGTATTATTCAAAAGGAGAAAAAATTTCAGTACAAAGGACTGATCCCTTGGCTTTTTGTTAATTGAAAGTAATACTAATTTAAATATATATTACATCTCCAATGTCTGCAAGGTTAAACAGTTAACAACTAAAAAGTTAAAAAAACAACACCATATATATATTTTGTTCTGATTTTATTATAATTGAGTTAACTAAAAAATATTGAATTAAAAATTGTATGTGTTATTGTAAATTTAATGGACGCTGAGGGCTTAACTGATTCATGGACTATGAATGCTAAGGATGAAATAAACAACATTGATACATCTAATATCCAATTTAATAATTAACACATTTATGAATGAAGTAAAAAATAAAATTGGAATTTATATCAGGTCGTCATTTTTTACCTCAGAACTGGACATGACCGTTTTAAATCATACCTCATCAGGAAGTTTAAGATAGGATCCAGTCCCTTGTGTGAATGTGGCCAAAATGAACAAACCAAAGAGCACATTCTGCAGAACTGCAAGCTGATGGAGGACATGCGGAGGCAGATATGACCCCAACCCGCAGAACTTGGGACCAAGCTTTTCGGACGTCTGGAGGACAACTAATTTTATATTTGTACTTTCCGACATAGCCATCTAGAGGGATGAACAAAGAAGAAGAAGAAGAAATTTATATTATCTCTTAGTATAAAATATTGTATACGTTCAGGGATCAACTCCTGAGACACTAAAAAAGGAAAGAAAATATTTATATATGGTTCTGAGCTTCACCACCATTTTCTTGGTCTTCATTTTGAAGTCAGAATTTTTTGTGCAGTTAATACCAGGCATCTGTGATTAGGGATGGGTTGATACCAGAATTTTTGTATCTAGATACAACTGATATGGATACTTTTTTGTATCTGATACTTTTGTACCTGATACAAATGGGTCAGTAGTTTGTCATTACCTTCCTATTACTTTTTATCTGATACTTGTGTCGGGTATTTTTATCTGATACTTGTATCAGATATTTGTATCTGATATTTGTATTGAATATTTTTATCTGATACTTATATGGGATATTTTTATCTGATACTAGTATCGGATATTTTTATCTGATACCTGGACTTGATACAATGAAGAGTAGAGACCCAAGCGGTGTACATACTGGCACTATTAGGGTTTGATATCCCAAAAATTGTATTGGGTATTTTAATCCAACTGTAATTGATTACTGATCGGGTTTGATGTTTTTAATACCTATTTATATTGTTAGGTATTATAACATACATAATAAAACACATATTAAATATATACCTATACATTTTATTCCTTTATTATTAAATTTGTTCCTGTAATAAATACTTTACACCATTTTTAAATATAATAGTTCCAATTTACATAGTTATGTCAGGTACTATGCAGATATATACACAACTTTTTAAAAAAAATATGCTTTATATTTGTCAAAAAAATGGAATATATTTAATTAAAAATAAAAATATAACAAATTCATGTAGAGAAAATTTTTTCCTAATAAAAGATTCTAAAGAATTTTGTAAAAATTAAAAAAATTCTTTACAGCTAAATTTAACATACACAAATATATATATTTATATATTTTTTTTCTATTGGCATTATAGACCATGTAGATCTTTTGCCAGCTTAAAAAGTCAGCTCCATCTCTGCCTGCCTTGGGCTATTTCGTTCCATTTATCTACACACAGCTCTATTGCATCTTTGTTCATTCTATCAATCCATCTGCTTTTTGGTCTTCGATGTGGTCTTTTGCCTTCTATGGAGGGATTCATTGTTATGTAGAGGCATCCAGATGGATTGCTAGGAGCTAGATGCCCCGTCCATCTTTATCTCCATGCCTCATATCATGGGATATTGATTGACCAGTTTCTGTAAGCAGTTCTTTGTTGGTCTTTCTTCTCCAAATGTTAATACTCTGAAACCGGATCGCTCAGAGGATTTTTTTCATTTCTATTTATTACTGTATATTTTAATTATTTATTTATTACAATTGTTTACAACAAATAATTAAGCTCCACAAAATATTTTTAGTCCGACAAGATTGATAATGAAGGGCCGCTATATTTATTTATATTTCATTGTGGGTATTTTTATTTTTTTGAACATTGAACATTCATTGGTTTATACACCAATTTTAATTTTTATATTGATTTAATCTATACAATTAAATATTCATCATCATATTCTCTCCTTTAGTCTCCTCATTCATTGTTAGTTAAATGCTTCCAGATGGATTGCTAGGAACTACATGCTCCATCCATCTTAACCTCCGGTCCTTCATATCATGGGACATTGATTGACCAGTTTCTGTAAGCAGTTCTTTATTGGTCTTTCTGTTAGTACTTTGATCCCAGATGTATATCTATATAAAACAAAAATAGCTTCGAAAAAATTGAACTTTTAACTTAATTAGTTTGAATTGAAATGAAAATAACAAGGATGTTATTGACATATTATAATAATTAATTTCACTGCTGAAAAAGACTTTTGACTTTATAAAAACAAACATTTATTAGAATTGTGGTAAACATATTTATATCACAACAAATTATTTAACAACTTCAATAAAATCTCAATTAAAATAAGTAGCTAACAGGTAAATATTAATGGGTGATAAATAGTCAGGACGCAGTCGTAATCAAATTTTTTTTTATTTATTTGTGCCAACGTTTCAACTCAAACACGTGGGTCATCTTCAGGGCTGAAAATTTTAAAAGTACAATCAGAGATATAATATTATACTACCCATAATGGTTGTATAGTGGTTGATGGTACATGAATCTTAACTATTATTACAATACACAATATTAAGAATGAAACATGTAAAAAGTTATATAAATATACAATAATATATATAATCTATTTATAAAAATTTGTAATATTTTCTCTTACTAACCGTGGTCTGAGCACTGAAGGCTTTCAAGTACTGACAGATTTAGTAGGTAAGTGAAAAGGTCGGGGTAGATTTCCCAGATGTCCTTTTTCAGATAGCAGAAGGTAGGTAAACATAGTCAGAGGGGGGGGGGGAGGTAACATTTCTGTTAGAATGTAAATAATTTGCTGACTAAATATTTAAGATATGTACAAGATTTGGGTTGTTTCTTATGGTTAGAGAATTGTGAATATTGGCTAGTAGTGAAATGAACATGAGCAAGAGGTGACAATCAATATAAATATAACATAGTTTGATTAAAGGTATACAATGGTTAGCCAAATAATATTTATAATAAAGATAATTATAATGGATTGAAAAGATGCATAGGAAAATATATTATACAGTATTTTAAAAATAACAGTATTAATCATAATAGAAGTATGTATTATATTAAGGATTACATAGTTTTAATAGTATGAGTA